AAAAGAAAAAAAAAAAAAAAAAAAAAAAAGAAGAAATTTCATGAAAATGTGTTGGCTGAATTACTAACCGTAGGGGTGAGTTGTGAATCGACGGGCGGCTGAGGAGCGGCTGAAGCTCGAGGGCGCCGCGACGCCAGATATAACATCCGCAGCGTACGCGACGCTACCGAAGATGGGCACGCGGGACGCCTCCAGGGCTGGCCAGTGAATCTGCCCACGCGAAAGCTTCGCGTAACGATGTCTGCGGATCAGACACGCTACAGAACCAGGAAATCAGTGTAACACCGACGTCGGAATCTCGGCAGAGGGTGGACAGCAGTACGAATTTGGACGACCCTGGCCGTCCGAGAACAGCGGTGCGAGAATTATGTGGCTACCTCCCACCGGCTCTCCCAATCTTACCCAAGTAGCGCATGATCTTGGCTAGAATTAATTTTTACACCGGACCATCGGTATTTGCAATTTTTTTTTTAACGCTAGAACGTTGCTTCCCACGATGTGACGTGACCATATAAATCGATATAAGTCGACCGACGTTCGAAGAATATAATTCGGAATATCCTTTGAAACTCGGACCGTTACTTTGCTACGTATTCTTTTAAACCTTTCACGATGGACAATTGAGTTTGTTAAATATTAATTGTTGATATTATTAATAATATTATTTCCGAAACCAGGAAGTGATTATGTGCTTGGGTTTATGCCGGTCTCTCTCGCGCTTTTCTACGAAGATTCAAGACAGTCTTGCAGATTCTCGGTAGTTCAACAGGTCATCGGCTTAATTTCGGCTAATAGTTTGGTACATACATACGTAACCAAATGAAGGCATCAAAGACTGGGATCACTCGAAATAACTATCGACCATTATTCCGAATCAAAATGATTTGAGGGATATATTACCCATGAACTCGATTAAAAACCTCGGATATCGATTCTAAAATTGAACGAAGTTTCTAAAGTTAAAGTCAAATAAAAAAAGAAAAGAAGCAAATGAAGTAATTGATTTAATAAGTTAATACGAAGCTCTTGTGATTTCTATCAAGCGGTATTAGCAAGTAAACATAAATATACATTTGTCAAGAATTGTTTCACAACGATTCTATTCAATTTTACAATAATGATAGTTTTTTTTTTTTATTTCACTTTAATTACTATAATTTTGTGACCTTTTCTTTCTTAATAAAACGCCGCATGTCTAACGTATGGACAAAATTTCGCATTTTGAAAGGCGTCGCAAATAACAAAAGGTATGGTTGTTTATCGTGTTAAATTTGTTACATTCGTCATGCTGATTTGTGTACGAAAATATGCGTGTGGAGTAACGCTGCGTCATTACGTAAGATGACTGTTTCTCAAATCAGCAAGTTGTCTCTCAAATATTCTTTTCAGAGCGAATTAACATCTAAGCTTTATTACTGACGATACTTTTATTCTTTTAATTAAAAACTTATTTCATTTTCTCTCTTTCGTTTTGAGACTTGCTAGTTTATCGCGTCTGACTCATGAAAGATACGTTTCACTTACTTTCGACACTCAATGGGCAAGACCAAGCCTTCGTTCTTAATCCTCTATTCATACGTTGATGATCAGGATATTTTTTCATTTTTCATTATACGTTTTATTTTTCTTTCTTAATTCTTAGTTTTACGATTCTTTAATATTTATCTTCGTAATGTCAATTAAAATTATTTTCCTTTTCTGAAATAAAAATTCTTAATTGTTATAATAATTTTAAGACTATTGATATGTATACTGAAAACGATCGCAGAGATATTAATAGAATTCTTAAGTATATATAACATATTTTGTAGCTCATTAAAAGTTATACTAAACATTTCATTTAACCCACCAATTTAATTGTACGTGTTTAAGAATTTTAGTTTCATGCATTAAAAAATACTAAAATCAAAGTTAATTTCATAATTATATTATTTGTTGTTATTTTAAATATCTTATCGGAATCATTGATTGTAATATCGTCTAAAAAAATCAACACTTGATTTATACAAAATTTTAATCTTGTATAGTGGATCATGGAAGATTATTGTTGATGCATTAAGCAGATAACTAGACGCACGATCAGGGTCATCGATCACAAGAACAAACAATTTTACGTTATTCGTTGATAATCATATATGTTCAGATAATACATAGAAGAGGCTATTAAATGTTAATAGTTGCTTTCTAGTAATAGCAACAGACAAACAATTTTATCGATAAAGATATTGGCGACAAAGTTTTTGGGAAATGTACTACAGGATTAACGCAAATCTACCAATTATTATACGAAATATGTAGAAACAAAGAGGAATTAAAAGTAACTTGGAAATTTTTATAAAAATATTATAACATAATAAAAGAAAAAAAAAAAAAAAAAACTATCGTTACGAAATTTTACGTACTTCGTACTTTTTCCACGATACACGTTTGTCTGCGACTTTTCATCATATCCAAAAGCTGTAGTAATATTTCACAGGGATAAAATTATTATATCTCACGAACATACAATAAATCAAAAACGAAATCTCGAGAAATATTTCGATAAATCTTTTTCCTTAATCCCCCATGTTTCGTAGTATTTAATTCGCGAATTATACGATATAATAAGTGGTCCTGTGAATTACTTTGAGTTAAGTGTTTTTTTTTTTTTTGTGCTGTAATGTTACGAGCGATAAATATTTTCTTCGACTGAAAAACGACTAAGAGGGAAAAAGTTATTTTAGTTGCATACACAAGTTGGATGACGTTGCATGACGTTCGAAACTGGTTCCTCTTCGTTTTATAAGATTTTTGTGGATAAAGGCACGCCAATAATAATATTTAAAATATTCCTACAACGATAGTAGACTTTTACGATGCGTTTTATACATGCATTCCACATACAGATACACAGTTTTCTACCAAATTGAATTTTTATGTTCCAGATAAGTTTAAATTCTTCATCAAGCGATACTGAAATACGTAGCCCCTCGCAACGATAAAAATTTCCTTCAAACAACATTAACTTGTATATAAATATAATAAAATATAATAAATCTCTTTAATTAAAATATAACAAATCTCTTAAAATATAATAAATCTCATAAAATGTAAAATACAATAAATCTCTTTAATTATAACGACGTTTCTATTATTTTCCACAAGTATGTTAAGCCTAAATCAAACAGGTGCAATTTTGGTTTCTAGCAATTGAAACGTATATTGTCTTAACCAGTTGCCGACTGGCAATTGCGGACCATAACGAGTGACCAAAACCGTCGCGTTCTTTTCGAACTCGTCGGTACAAGACGTCACTGGATAGAAATTATTGAGAAGTAATAAATTTATTGTTTGTTCTGTCCGTTTATTTCGTTTTACTTAAACATACTTAAAACTGAATTGAACAAAAATATTGCAATTTCGGAAACGGAAAAATTCTCGACATGCGTGGCACGTCATTCCAGCGCAAAAGGTTAAAATTCCAAAATCACCGAAATATCCTTGTCACCACATTACGTGTTGTGATCATCGTAAAAACGAACTTTCAGTTTCCTATTTTTATCAAAACCATTTACCAATTACCCGATGACAGTGTACTTCTCTGAACTACGAATCGTTTCTCGTCGAACGATCTTCATAAATGCTACCGCTGCATCATGTGGCGCGAGGCGTTTTACATTCAATTGTCGTAAGAAGGGCCCTTGAAACGAGCACGGGTACATATATACGAGTAGGAGATGACACGTTCTCGTGGAATAGTACAGCGGTAAGCGAATGAGCGAGCGAGTCGAAAAAGAAACCGAAGAAGGACATTGGTGCGGTGTTAACCCGGCAAGGACATTCTGGTCCTACGAATCAGGAATGTCAAACTGGTCTGAGATGTGTGAATATACATATGTAGTTATTAATACTAAGCAACGCGGGTTGTTAGTTTCAACTGAGGATACACGTACGATAAGAATGTACATCCGCAAGACCTTGCGGAGACTCGATAATGCTACATGCGCCGCCCTCAAGGCTCCCCAAATGTTACGGTCGTGGTCGTTTCTTTGAACTTCCGTGTATTTGTAGGTTCAACTCGAACGACGATAATGGATTCCTGTTGTTGAACGTGTTATGTTGTTATGTTGCTCCTGCTAAACTGGATGTCGAGAAAACATCTCCCACGAAACGTATCGTGTGTGCACGATGGTCGAACAACGTGCATATTTGATCGAATTTCGGAAGAATAAGAGTGACAATGTAAAATTGTAATGCAGTAGTAATTAATACGACGGCCACCGGTGACCGACTGTTCCTATAAATATTTTTCATTGTAGAATGATTAAAATAAAATAAATATCATAGACGAATAAATATTAAATAATATATATATATATATATATATATATTATAATATTATTAAAATATTTTTAATTTATAATATATATAATTTAAAATTATATATATTATTTTTAATATTGTTTAATATGTTTTATTATATATATATATTATATATAGATGTATTATAATAACAAATAATAACACTATTATAATTATATAATAATATAATATATAATATATAATATATATATATTATATAATATTATAATAATTATTATATTATTATATTATAATAATATAATTATATAAATAACACTATTATATATATATAATATAATATTATATATATATATATATATATATATATATATATATATATATATATATAACTAAATA